AGAAAACTTGTAAGATATAGGAAAATTAAAATTTTGAGGGAAATACAGCCTTAAAGAAAGAAAGATGGCTGGGCATGGTGGCTCACATCTGTAATCCCAGCACTTGAGCAGGCTGAGGCAGGAGATCACTTAAGGCCAGGAGTTCAAGACCAGCCTTGGCAACAAAGCAAGACAACAACAACAACAACAAACCAGAAAGAAAAATATCAAAGTAAAGAGAAGAAAATAATAAATATAGGAACTAAAATTTATAAAACCGAAAATAAAGATTCAACAGAGAGGATTAACAAAGTCAAAAGTTGGTTGGCTAAAAGAATAATAATAATAAACCATTGGCAAGATTAATCAAGGAAAAAAGAGAAGGAACAAATGAATATCTGAAATTTAAAAGGGGAGATAACTACTGATATGGCAAAATTTAAAAGATAAAATAATAGCATGAATAGATGTTGAGACTACAGCAATGTTCGTTATATTTCCTTTGTGACTTAAAAAATGTTCTGTATTTGTGGGATATAGGATCATATGCAAATGCAATTAGCTAACCTTTTGAACATATATTTTGAAGCTAGGTTAGGTATACGAGTTCATGATTACAATGGTCTCTTACATTGTTTCTTTTATCAGTATAATCTATTTATGTGTGTACTTGAAAATACCTCGGCCGGGCACTGTGGCTCACACCTGTAAATTCCAGCACTTGGGGAGGCTGAGGTGGGCAGATTGCTTTGAGCCCAGGAGTTCGAGATCAGCCTGGGCAACATGGCAAAACTCAGTCTCCAAAAAAAAAATACAAAAAAATAGCTGGGCAAGGTAGCACACACCTATAGTCCCAGCTACTCGGGAGACTGAGGTGGGAGGATCACCTGAACCCGGGAAGTCAAGGTTGTAGTGAGCCATGACTGTACCACTGCACTCCAACGTGGCTGACAGGAGTGAGACTCTGTCTCAAAAAAAAAATAAATTAAATATTCTTTCTTTTATTTATTAGTCACTTACTGTGTGCTATGGAGTTTGTCAATATTACCTCTATCCCTAATGTCCCTGGTAAGATAGGCATAAATAACTCCTATTTCAGATGACACAACTGAGAGAGCCATAAATGATATGTTTTAAAAAGCCAGGATCCAAACTCAGATTTTTCTGTTTCCAAAGCCTGTACTCTTCTTTACCACCATGGTTCAAATGTATGTTGACTGTATATGTAACATGTATTTATTTTTTAAAAACAACACAAATTTCAGTATGAGGGAAAACTCAAAACTTAATCATGCAATCCTATAAACTGGACTTTTGCATTTTAAAGCACCTATCTTTGGGGAGAGAAGGCAGTGCAAGCTGGCTTAATAGAACTCTCCAGCCATCATTTCCCCTCTATACCCCACAGGAACACCAAATTGAACAATTAGCCATACAAGAAAGAACCTTCATAACAACTAAACATTGGGTGAGAGATCACAGTACCTGGTTTTAACCACATATCACTGAAAGAGGCACTGAAGAAGATAGGAAAGACAGTGTTGAATTGCCAACACCACCATTCCACCATCTGTTGGCAGCGGCCACATGGTGTGGAGAGAGAATCTATGCTTGTGGGAGGGAGAGTGCAGTGATTGTGGGACTTTGCATTAGAACTCAGTGATGCCTGCCACAGCTGAAAGCAACATGGGGCAGAATTCAGCCAGTACTCACAGAGGGGGCAGTTAGACCAGCCCCAGCCAGAGGGTAACCACCCATCCCACTGGTCAGAATCTGAGTTCCAGCAAGCCCCACCATGGCAAGCTAAAGCACTGTGGGGTTCTAAATAAACTTGAAAGGCAGTCTAGGCCGCAAGCACTGCAATTCCCGGGCAAGTCCTGGTGCTGTGCTGGGCTTGGAGCCAGTGGAGTTAGGGGACATGTGACCTAGTGAGATATGAGCCAGCCAGCCAGCCAGCCAAGGAAGTGCTTACATCACTCCTCCTCCAATCCCAGGCAGTGCAGCTCACAGCTCCAGGAGAAACTCCCTTCCGCTTGAGGCGAGGAGAAAGGAGAGTAAAGGGGACTTTGTCTTGCAACTTGGATACCAGCTCAGCCACAGTAGGATAGGGGAGAAGGTAGAGTCCCAAGGCCCTCATTCCACGCCCTAGCTCCCAGATCACATTTTTAGACATACCCGGTGCCAGAAGGGAATGCACTGCCTTAAAGGGAAGGACCCAGTCCTGGAAGGATTTATCACCTGATGACTAAGAGAACCTGGGCCCTGAATAAACATCAGCAGCACCCAGGCAGTACTCACCATGGGACTTGGGTAAGACCCAGGGCTGTGCTGGCTTCAGGTGTGACCCAGTGCATTCCAAGCTATGGTGCCCACAGGGACAGACTTCCTCTGCTTGAGGTAAGGAGAGGAAAAAGTAAAAGCAACTTTTTATTGCAGTTTGGGCACCAGCTTGGCCACAGTGGGGCAGAGAACCAAGAAGTCACCTGGGGTCCTCAGTTCTAGCCCTTGGCTTCTGGATGGCATTTCTGGACCTGCCCTGGGCTAAAGGGGGGCCCACTGCCTTGAAGGGAGAGTCCTAAACATGGCAGCATTCACCACAAGCTGACTGAAGAGCCTTTGGGCCTTGGGTGAATATCAGCGATAGCCAGGCAGTACCTGCTGCAGGGAGAGACTCCTTCCACATGAGGGAAAGGAGGGAAGAGTGGGAAGGATTTTGTCTTACAGCTTGGGTGTCAGCTCAGGTGGTGTAGAATTGAGAACCAAGCAGATTCCTAAGGTTCCTGACTCTAGGCCCTGGCTCCCAGATGGCATTCTGGTATCTGCTGTAGGCTGGGGAGTAGCTTGCCGCCCTGAAGGGAAGGACACAAGCCAGGCTGGATTTGCTTCCTGCTGATGGTAGAGCCCTTGGACCTTGAGTGAATATTGGCAGTAGCCAAGCAGTGGTAACTGGGGGCCCAGGGTGAGACCCAGTATTTTGCTGGCTTTGGAGAAACTCCACGTGTCTGGGGGAAAGTAAGGGAAAAGAACAAGAGTCTCTGCCTGGTAATACAGGGAATTCTCCCAGATCTTACCCAAGACCACCAAGGCAGTATCTCTACAATTCTGCAACAGCCACAGCATTACTGGGCTTGGGGTGCCCCACCCCCAATGCAGATACAGCTATCATGACCAAAGATTTAGATGATAACAACTCAGTGCTCTTTGAATACTTGGAAAACTTTCCCAAGAAGGACAGGTACAAACAAGCCCAGACTACAAAGACTAACAAATATGTAACTCTTCAATGCCCAGACATCGACAGATATCCACAAGCATCAAGACCATACAGGAAAGCATGACCTCACCAAACAAACTAAATAGTGTACTAGTGACCAATCCTGAAGTGACAGAGATATGTGACCTTTCAGAGAGAGAATTCAAAATAGCTGTTTTGAGGAAGCTCAATGAAATTCAAGATAACACAGAAAAGGAACTCAGAATCCTATCAGGTAAACTTAACAAACAGATTAAAATAACTTTTAAAAATCAAGCAGAAATTCCAGAGTTGAAAAATTCAACTGATATAGTGAAGAATGCATCAGAGTCAACAGGAGTATTGATCAAGCAGAAGAAAGAATCGGTGAGTTTGAAGACACGTTATCTGAAAATACAGTCAGAGAAGACAAAAGAAAAGAGAATAGGCCAGGTGCAGTGCCTCATGCCTGTAATCCCAGTACTTTGAGAGGCCAGGTGGGTGGATCACTTGAGGTCAGGAGTTCAAGACTAGCCTGGGCAGCATGGAGAAACCCTGTCTCTACTAAAAATACAAAATTAACCAGGCATGGTGGTACATGTCTGTAATCCCAGTTATTTGGGAGGCTGAGGCAGGGGAGAATCGTTTGAACCTAGGAGGCAGAGGTTGC